GACTAAATTGGCACCACTGCAAAAGGTTTATGACTTTTTTGACACTTTTCTCCCGTGTTGTCCCGTCCCACCCAAAGATTATTGTAACGTCGTCGCGATCAAAGAGGTCCGTCGTAATTTCTCGGTTATCCAAAATTGAGAGGCAAGAAAAGCGACGCGCGAAACCGCGATTAAAAACTAACCCGTCGTTTGTTGTCCTTCTTTAGCTCTCTTTTTTCCACTTGTGCGTGCGAACGGGCTCTTTAAACCTATTTTCGTGCATCGCGCTGGAGCATGCATAGCGATGTTTAACTTAGGAGATTTGCGAAGGAGACCCTAATCTAGATCGAAATTCCACACTTTCTTAATCGAATCCCAATTAACACCAAATGTGGCCTTAATTTCAAACCCGCCTCCTCCTAAACACAGGACGGTCTTTAGCGTCGATTCTTAGGCAACGTTGCAGCCGGAAATGAAAGGGATGGGCCACAAATCATCGAGAGAGAGAGAGAGGGGAAAATTTTGGTCCAACGAAAAACATTCATAATGGTGGGCCGGAGATCATTATCAATATTTAGTGTAAATAAAATAATTTTCCTTTGACCAGAAAATATATAATTTTTTTTTAATTTCTCTTCTTGCTCCTGTTTTATTAGGATGCTAACAAGGGCATCTTGTTTGGCCGAGGGAGAAAGCAGTCCTTCACGTATGGACCCAACGGCTATATAATATGACCAAGATAGATCCTCACATTCTAGTCCAAATTTCACATAGAATCGAAGTAGGACCTTATTTAATCAATCGGAGTAATAGCTCGACTTGTTCACGCCGCCTAAAGTAGAGTTTATATGATTGACTAACTTGCGATCACAAAATGTTAATGCGAGCTCGTTATTACGTATTTACGTGGCTCACGTGATAGAATGATCGGGCCAGTGATACGGTATGTATTTTTCGAGTACATTCTAGCCTTCAGTTGTTCTCTTACATTGAGTGGTGGAATGAGTAGTCCCATGACATTCATCTCTAATCAAAAATTGATGATCGTACAATAACTGTGAAAAGGTATATTCGCATACTCGATTATATCCAACGACTTGCCGAAACGAGGCAGCACGCGTGATTGTAGCGCTAATCGAAAAGCATTACCGAAACGTAGAATAATAACTAAAATTTTCCTTTGACCGCAATCCTGAACGCAAGTGAAACATAGCACCAAATTCGCATTAGAAAAAGGGTTAGAAAGATCCCAGAAACTTTTCATTTTTGTGTTATAGATGTATCTGCGGCGATTGGGATGGAGTTGACAATCGCTGCAAGGTTGCTGACGAGAGGGGGCTCGAGCACTTTCTCTTTGAATCGTGTTTAGGTGGAGCCCCTGATCTTACCTTCCCAATAATTAAATCACAAGCATGAAGTATAATTCCATGGAATCTGATTGGCGATTCCAGACTTTTGTTTTCTTCTGCTTTTCGCATTGTTGAGGGAGAGAGACGGCATCTCTCTCGCGTTTCTCCTCTCTCTCCCCTTTCTTTAATGGCCCATTCGAGGGATTGTTGCTTGAAACACATGATTGACCTGTTCTTCATGCATTCCTAAGAGTCTTTAGTCCTCTACTTCACTGGCATTGAACATGTACCGAACCAGAAGATGAATGGAAATGTAATTAGCTTGTCCCTTGCTACTGTATCTGACCTTCGATAACTAAGTTGAAATGGAAGTGTTGATGACCATTCATGCCGGGTATAGGCAAATTCGGACGATGTTACGTCAATGCAAGAGAAACCAACGATTGACGCCGGGTATGCATGAGTAAAGATAGGCTATCCGTGGGCTAACTTGTTTTGTGTCCCTCACCCAACACTGTCGCCGCCACCACAACCACTGGCTCACCACCGTGCTGCCACCCACACCACTTCCTCGCTCCACAGTGCTTGCCAATGCCGATAATTGTCACCACCTCTCCTCTTCAATGTCTTCTCCATTTACGTGGGATCTGTGTCTTCTATTGACAAAAGGAAAAATGGAAGTACAACCACAGATTCTGCCAGCATAGTTGGTCCTCTACTCCTGTTGTCCGAAGAACAGAACCGACGACGACATTCGTGACAAAGCTAATGTTACTGACACTGACAAAGAAAATCATAATTCATGACATTGCTCATCTTTGCTTAGTCAGACCAACAACTGAGAAGCTGTAAAATTCAGACACTGAGCCAAACATGGTGCGTTAGATAGATGGAATGTCTTCAACTTTCGGAGAAAGATGAGATACACATCAACTCGATGATGCCACGCCACACCCTGCACTGAACTCGTCGGTTGCTGCATTTAAGCCTTAAACCATTGTATGAAGCTATCACAACCAGCACCCACATAACAAATGAAACAAGGATCAAAATTTGAAAAGAGTCAAACTTAATGAACCTCTATTTCTTTAATCAGTGAAACATTACATTAACATTAACATCCAAGAACGAGCCCTCCTAAGTTAGTGCAATTTTGTCAGTTACCAAATATACAAAGCCAACTGATCAAAACTCTGCACAATGGCCTCAAAAGTTCTCTTCATCATCTTGCGCATCATCTGCACTTGTAAGATGTTGAAGTGTGACCTTGGCCTTTTTAGGTTGAGAGGCTTCCCTGATTTCCTCGTCATCACACTTTCTCTTCGCATTTTCATCCTCCTCTTCAGAATTCCCAGAAATTTCAGGACTATTTTCTGGTTTCTCATGAGATGATAACTTTGTACTAGAGGCTTCGGCTTGTTTCCCAGGATTAGGATGTTCGCCTTTTTTAGATGATTCTTCAGATTCTACCAAAAAGGAGCGAATTTCTTCGCTGCTTGCAAGATCAAGAGGGGTTTTCCCAGCTTTAGTCTTGGTACTCAGGCTAGCACCTTTCTTTACCAAGTACTTCACGAGCTCCAAATGGGACCCTTGAACTGCATAGTGTAGTGGCGTGAAGCCCTTGCGATTAGAAGCTTTAAGGGAGACCCCAGATGAAAGAAGCGTGCGTACGACTTCCAAATGCCCCTTTTGGGCAGCAAAGTGAATTGCCCCCATATCATCCATGGCAGCAGCCCCGGCATCAGCCTTGTTCTGGCAGAGATAAGTGACCACTTGTGCCTGACCAGACCATGCTGCTAAATGGAGTCTAATAGAGTATGTCAGGTCAAGGAAAAAAATGGCAGTATAAACAACCCCCGAATTAGAAAGTAATCACAGTTTGAAAAAAGAAAGGGAACGCAATAGCAGGCAATATAAATAATATTACTATGCCAGAAAAAGTTGGCATTCAGATAACATTGTAGATTAGGTAAATATAGTATAATCTCCATTGAATGACCAAGTAAAGACACTGATATCTAAACTCAGTCATAGATGAAGCTTGTGAAAAAGTATTAACAAGGAAACTGTTAGCATGATTCAACATGGAAGAGGGAATGGATAGGATTTGCAAAAGATCGCCCTTCTCAAACAAGCAATTGTTAAACAATGATCGTTTACAGTAATCCATCGGACGCAGATGCTTATCAGTATAGTGGGAAAAGATTTACCGATGCCAAAAAATACCCTGGTTCAACACACTCCCTCATTACTAGTGGATAAGATTAACTTGCAAGCCTTAGTTTCAAAGGAACCACATCAGGGAAAAATTGTAATTAGGAACAAGACTGAAGTAACAAGAAAAGCGACAGCTGGAGATGACCTTGGGACCATTTAATCCTTATCATGGCTTGTTTTAGAGACACGATTCTACAGAAATTCTCCAAGTTGTTCAGAATCCATGAAGACCTTCTTCAACGTCGAGTGATTTGGAATCAGCGATCGTGTATTTCACAAGCACAGCAGCACCGACCTAACCAAGAACCGTCCAGACAGCAGCCGGTACCTAGTCTCACGCAGTTCATGTCTCTATCCTCACCACAAGTTCATCTTTTCAGTTCATTGACTGGATTTTATCACCTTAAATGAAAAAGATCGTGTCACCACTATATACCGAATAAGGACAAGGAGTTGTTTTTCTAAAGCAAGTCGCAGAGCACGCCAGTGGACACAAATGCACCAACTTCGTCTAACGACAGTCATATAAACTCCCACACACACACAGGCATACACCGCGGAGTACTGTTTAACTCTATCAACACTCCTCCTCATCATCAAGTACTTACTTTCACACAAACTCCAGCATCAGTGGCCTCTTTCCCAAACTATTGCATAACAGTCAAGAACTGGAAGATGCCGATTTACCAAGTCAATCGCGGGTTCGATCCCCACACATATCACGCCAATGCGGCGATGCCAATTCGAATCATCAATGGGTATCAAGCAATCGTGCAAAGTTTCACTAGTTTAACAAGAAAATGAACAGACATGAAAGAATTGATAACCAATCGCCAGTTTACTAGAATCAGAAGAGGGCGCGATTAATTAGGGGAGGATACGGAGTTCTGGAGTGCTTATCTCTGGAATTGACGGCCAAAGGGCTCGCCGCAAGCATCGACTGAACGGCTCTCAGGTCGCCGGACCTCGCCGCCGCGTGGAGCGCCTCGCCGGAACGCGAAGAAGCCGAGCTCTGATGATGCTTTCCCATTTTCCTCTTCTTCTTCAACTGCTCGTTAGGTTGTCTCGAATTCGACCAAGGCCTCGGATCTCCGTCTCCCTCCCCCTCTCCGAGGTTTTACAGCAGAAGAAGAAGAAGTGGAAGATGATGAAAATGCCTTCAGCATCGAGGCCCATTGAAAGTTTCCTTCAAAGCCCATGCTTGTTGGGCCTGTACCCTTTTAGATCCGACCCGAATTTTTCGGGTCGGGTTCCGCTTTCGCCTTCCTCGACGATTCACTTTCAGTTTCAGTCGAAGCAGAGCAGCTTTGGGGGTGAAAACAAGACCCTAGAGAGAAGAGCTAGAAATGAGTTCGCTCTCTTCCATGAATCGCCATGCTCGCTCCTTGATCTCCAAGATCTTCGATTCGAACCAGAGGCTCGCATCTCGTTCGTCTTCTCTTCTTCAACGTCGTCATGGTCTCACCACAAGATCGCATTCCTCAGGCAAGTGGCTTTTCTTTTTCCTTTTTCTTATTTTTGGGTTCGTCCCGGGTGCTTGATTTGCGAGAATCACTAAGGAAGCACCTCGAACTAGTGCTGGTTGATAAGGTGCCTCGGTTTGCCTTGTTCAAAATCGTTTCTTGACACTTCGAATTTGGATTTTTCGATTGCCATTTATTTAGCTGCTGCAATTCGAAACTGTAGTGGGACTTCGAGAATAATTGGATTCTTGGTTTATGTTGGATTTCATCGTGCTTCTTCATGCTTTCCGCGCATCTTTTGCTGAATTTGCCGTCAACTAGTCGTTACATATTCGAATGTTTAGGTGGGTATCTCCATTTCGTCGTTTTGCTCCGATCATATGGAGAAAAATTGCTGGATGTTGTTTGTGACTAGAGATATCGACAAATTTATGTTTGGAGGCCAGGGTTATTAGGCAAAGAATGATGGACCCTTTTCGTTTTTGCAGGATCTGCCCAGACAGGTGAAGTCATTTCTCCACGTATGAATGACGTTTCGATGATAAAGATGTATGGAAGTGCATGTCAACCTTCCAAAGTATATAAGGTCAATAATTTAAGGACCCGTATGGTTAATCCTTCCCATTTGAGCTTGACGAGATTCGTCCACACTTCAACTCAAAAGGATGTTGAGAACAGCGGTGGCCCCAGGTTCATGGATTATGTTAGGGGGATCATAGAGGAAGAAGGGAAAGCCCTTGGTGGTTTTCAATTTTCTCGCTACAACATGGAGCAAGATGTCGATTTCGTCCACATAAAGCTTATGCGCAACAATACGTTTGTTACCGTGACCGATTCCAAAGGGAACAGGAAGATTGGTGCATCGGCTGGGTGTTTGCCGGAAATGAAGGGAGGCCCGAAGCTATCTAGATATGCTGCTGAGGCGACTGCTGAACACGTGGGGCGACTGTCCAGGAGTTTGGGGTTGAAGTCTGTTGTGATGAAAGTGAAAGGGTTTACCTATTTCAAGAAGAAACGGCAAGCAATCATGAGCTGGAGAGAGGGCTTTACAAACGCTCGTGGGAACCAGAACCCGATCGTGTACATTGAGGACTCAACTCGTCGTCCCCATAATGGTTGCCGACTTCCGAAGAGGCGTCGCGTATAAGCGATACTCATAATGTTGTTAGAATGTTAGATCGTCTAATTGTCAAAGTGGAGCCATACACTTCTTGGTCTTGGGACGGGCAAAGTGATGTCCATTTTGGAAAATAATCTTGAGCTGTTCCTTTACGGATTTCAAAGTAATGGTTAATTACAGTGACATTAATTTTCTGTGCAATGTTATGATAATCATGAGGGTTTTATGGCTTAGTTCGCCAACGATTTGCATCTTGTGGACATACTGCATTCCTTTGTATTATCAGGTTATATTAGAATTATAAGTTGCTTTTGTCATCTGTCTGAATGAATATATTCTTTAGCTGTCGGCTGAGTCCTTCTGTTTCCAAATAGTATTGCAGAATGTACTCTTTAATGAAAAGTCATGGCGATTTGCTGGGGGTTCTCTGCTTGCTTGGTGTCTTTTCTCTTTTTTTGTGGGTGGTTGGTTTCCATGATCTTACTATATTTTCCTAATTGGCTGGAAGGAACTTATTTAGAGTTACTGAATGAGAGGGCCAGTCCTATGTCCTCACTGCCTGTACTTTTTTGCATCTTCTGAAGCTATATGATTTACTGCAATGTATAAGTTATGCTTTTGTGATTTCAATCTCTCCAACAACTTTTTTGGGCGATTTTTATTTTGATTCTGCATAACATTTCGAGAGAAATCTCATGAAAGTTGAGGTTTGCTTTTTCTTGGTCAGTAAAAAATCATAGTAAAGAGCTTTCCACTTTTTTCTTTTATTGTTTTGGAACTTTTTAGAGGCTGTGATCTAATATTACTTGCTGAGCAAATTCAACATGATGTCTTCGTCTATGTTGTTTCTACCGGTTTCGTAGGCCTCTGTGATTCTGTTGTTGCGGCCTGAGCTAGGTGCATTAAGAAAACAGTGTTGAGCTAGCAAGATGTCTACGAGATGGATCCACAGGTGAATATCGAAATGTTATTCGCGGACGATGTCATGATATTGGCACAATGTCAAAGTCCCATTGCCACGATGTCATGATATTGAAAACTATAAATAATGTGAGGAGGGGCATGAGCATTTGATCTTAGTTCTAATTCCGCGCTTATTCCCCCTTAATGGTGACAGTCATGGGATGGCAGGACAATTAAATTAAGTTAGAAAGCGCTCTATTTTCGTTCCTTAAATGTGTTCGTAGATGGCACTGCATGCATGTGAATGCTTTTGATGAATGGTATCTGGTAGCAACCCGCAGTAGAGAGAGAGAGAGAGAGAGAGAGAGAGAGAGAGAGAGAGAGAGTCGGAGAAGGAGAGGAGAATTGGGAGAGAGAGAGAGAGAGAAGAAGAGTCGGACAAGGAGAGGAGAATTGGGATTGAAAGGGAACAATAGATCATAATATTTTTTCTATTCACAACTGTGCATAACCGAAGCATTTAAATAAAGATGAACAAAACAACAACTTGTTAAATTCTAGGAAAGACTAACCCACTACTAAAACCTACGAAGCATTTGGGAAAGTGGGGCTGATTTCCCAAGATTTTCTCTAACTTCTCCCATACGTGGCTTGACTTGTTCAGCCACTATCCCCATTAACGCCACTTCATCTTTCTTCTTTCCATTTTCCGAAAATATGTCTTGAGAGGAAGAGGAGGTAGCATAGGTGGTAGCATCTTATCAGTACTCCCCCCCTGAAAACTCGCCTTGTCCTCAAGGCGAAAGTCTGGAAATTGACCTGCTAGAAGGTCATAATCTTCCCAAGAAGCTTCTTCGAAAGGGCGATTTTCCCATTGGACCAGAACTTCAAGAACTGGAGGATTGGATTGTGACACCCAACGATGGTCCAATACCTTTGCTGGTGTTAAGATGAGCTCCCAGTCATTTGAAAGAGGCAAAGGTGGTGGTGGATTGGATGGATCGTGACCACGGGGCGAACGCAACAAAGACACATGAAAGATGGGATGGATTTTGGAATCGAAGGCGGCTCCAGCTCATATGCTACCGGTCCAACTCGGCGAAGGACTGTGTAAGGGCCGAAATATCGTGGAGAAAGTTTTCATATTTTCTTTTTGATAAGGAACGTTGGCGGAATGGTGGATGCGGAGAAAACCGCTTCACCTTCTTGAAAAACCAGCTCTCGACGGTGGGAATGCACTGCGCCTTCATCCTAGATTGAGCTTTGAGAAGGTTGTCCCGTAGAAGTTCGAGCATTTCATCACGGTCCCGCAACTGCGATTCAAGTTCAGCAATGTGTGTTTCTCCGGAATAAAGGGTGAAGCTGTGGAGGATCTCTTCCGTAGAGCGCCTTGAAAGGAGTGGTTCCGGTTGAAGTATGGAACCCCGTGTTGAAGGAAAATTCTGCCCAGGAGATGTATTTGCTCCAAGTTGCTGGTCTTTCATGTGCGAAACATCGCAAGTAGCCTTCTAAACAACGATTTACCACTTCCGTTTGCCCGTCCGATTGGGGATGGTAAGAAGTGCCCATTCGAAGCCTAGTTTGACTGAGTCGGAATAGCTCTTGCCAAAAAGCACTCAGGAAAAGCGGGTCATGATCGGATAATATAGAACGGGGTATGCCATGCAATCTCACGATCTCTCGCAAAAAAGAGCAGCCACAGTTTTGGCGTAAAAGGAAGGGTCAGTGAAACAAAATGACTATATTTGGTGAGTCTGTCCACGACTACCAAGATGGTGTCGTATCCACCAGACTTTGGAAGCCCTGTGATAAAATCAAGTGAAATGTCTTCCCAAACTCTTTCTGGAATAGGTAGTGGCTGCAAAAGGCCTGCTGGTGCCAACGTTTGGTACTTTGTTTGTTGACAAACCATGCAATTCTGAACATAACGCTTCACATCTTGCTTCATTTGAGGCCGAAAAAACACGAGTTGAGGCGCTTAAGTGTCTTAGATAAGCGCCATGCCCTCCGACTAATGAATCATGGGACTCGGCCAATAATTTCGACCGTAGGGAGGAATCATCCGGAATGACCAACCTGTCTTTGTTGAAAAGCTTGTTGTCAGCAATGTGAAAATCAGGTTTGGAAGACGGATCCTGTTGGAGACCTTCAATGATACCCTTAGTGTGTGGATCGCGGTGTAAAGAATTGGGCAAGGTCAAGAAATCCATATTGACAGGCAGAGCTAAGGCCATGAAATCTGCATGTTGTGGTCGTCGTGACAATGCATCAGCCCCTTGGTTCGTCTTCCTAGATTTGTATAATATGGTGAAGTCGAAAGGGAGCAATTTCAAAAGAAGGCGCTGCTGTTCGTTAGTAGTGATGCGTTGATTCAACAGATACGTAAGGCTGCAATGGTCAGTTTTCACAAAAAAATGTCGCTCCAACAAATAGTGCTTCCATTTTTGCAAAGCCAAAACCAAAGCAAGTAACTCACGATCATAAGTAGATTTATAACGGTTAGAAAAGGAAAAACCGTTACTAAAGTATGCAATAGGGTGTTCGGATTGCAAGAGGACAGCACCCACTCCTTCTGAAGATGCATCACACTCTACTGTGAAGGGGCGGCCAAAATTGGGCAGCCCAAGAACAGGAACAGTGGTGAGTGTAGTTTTCAACTGATCGAACGCCAAATCCGCCTGCTTGGACCATTGAAATGCATTCTTCTTAGTCAAATCTGTAAGAGGTCGCGCAATCAATCCATAGTTCTTCACAAAGCGGCGGTAATACCCAGTGAGACCCAAGAATCCACGCAACTCCTTGACATTCTTAGGTATCGGCCAATTCAACACAGCTTGCACTTTGTCTTGATCAACGCCAACTCCTTGGCTGCTGACCTCGTGACCCAAAAATCGAAGTTGTGGTTGCCCAAAAAGACATTTCTTCGCGTTGACCAAGAATGAATGTGTTTGTAATGCTTCAAGGGCTAATTGTAGATGGGTGAGTGCTGGTCCAAGGTGGGGTTGTATATTAGGATGTCGTCGAAGAAGACTAAGACAAATTTTCGAAGGTAGGGACGGAAAAGGTCGTTCATGGCTGATTGAAAAGTTGAGGGGGCGTTTGTGAGGCCAAATGGCATAACCACAAACTCGTAATGGCCCGAATGGGTGCAGAAAGCAGTTTTGTGGATATCAGGGGGATGGACGCGAATTTGATGATAGCCCAAGCGGAGGTCAATTTTGGAAAAAATTGTGGCTCCGTGTAGTTCATCCAAGAGCTCATCTATGTTGGGAATGGGGTACTTGTCGGGTATGGTCATTTGGTTTAAAGCCCTATAGTCTACACATAATCTCCAGGTGTTATCTTTTTTCTGGACTAAGAGGACTGGGCTAGCAAAGGGGCTTGAAGTGGGGCGGATGAAACCAGCTTGGAGAAGCTCATCGATTTGCTTCTCAATCTCAGCTTTGTGGTGATATGGGTATCGGTAAGGTCTAATGTTGGGTGGCTTGGAATTGGGTAGTAATGAGATGGCATGAGAGTGAGATCGGAAGGGTGGAAGTGTTGTGGGTTCAGCGAAGACAGCCTCAAATTCATGTAATAAAGAATTTATTGCTGGTGGAGGAGGGTTACCTGGTGTCACCATGGATTTGGTGACGTTGAGCTTCAAAATGGCTTGAAAAGAGGCTTCGGCTTTAGATAGTGCTAGAACTCCCTGAAGCCGATAGCGCTTTCCATCTATATAAAAGATCATAAACATCTCATTCCAATTTGCTTGCACAATGTTGAGCGACGCAAGCCATTTGATCCCCAATACTAAGTCAGCCCCTCCAATGGTGAATGGATAGAAGTCCTGGGTAATCTGCAAACCCGGTAGCTGTATTGGTACCTTATGACAAACTTGATTACATCGTATGACTTCCCCATTACCAATCTGAACACCAAAAGGCACTATCTTCTTAATGGGAATATTCATCGATGCTACCAGCGATGAAGTGATAAAATTATGGGTCGATCCACTATCAACCAATATGAGGACATGCGAGCCCATTAAAGAACCCTTAAGCTTCATGGTTGTGCCACTGGCTTTTCCCAGAATCGCATGTAACGAGATTTCCGCAAAATCTGTCTCGAGTTCTTCTCCTTCGCCACGCTCCACCAGCTCCACTCATCTCCGGTGTCTTCCGCATCATTCGTCTCCATGAGAGAAAAAAACGACAGCTTGCAACGATGTCCTGGAGCAAACTTCTCGTTGCATCGGAAGCATAGGCCTTTCGAAATGCGGTTTTGGCGCTCCCCAACTGAAAGTCGCGCTGAAGTTGTTAGGTTGGAAGGTAGATTTGATGTCCCTGTGTTGCACAAATTAACATTCGCCGTAGTTGTGACATGCTGAACACCCGCAACTAGCGTGGGACGGAAAGGGAAGGAAGAGGCGGTAGGTGGAGGATGGTTTAAGTTGGACCAGTTAGATCCCCTTGTTCCACGCTCCGAGCCGAGCTTGGTTTCAAACTCTAAAGCTAGGCTCATAGCCTTGTAGACAGTCCGCGGTTTATGAATACGAACATCGCCCCGAGTTCCTCCTTGATCCATTGAGGAACACCCCCAACAAGCGGTGCTCCGGCCGCTTGGAAACCCGAGTGAACGTTTGGCAAATTCTTGCCGATACTCTGTACAGATCCAATTTGACGTATTCCGCACAAATGTTCGTCGGGATTTTGAAATTCCGCCGGTCCGTAATTCTCTTGTAGGGCTTTAACAAGTTCCTCCCAATAGACCAATGTTCGCTCTTTGTTAATCCAAGCGAACAAATCCAGCGCATCACCCTCAAGGTGCATTGCCGCGACGTCAACTTTCAATTCATCGGGCGTTTCATAATTGCGGAAATATTTCTCCGCCTTGAGTATCCATCCACGAGGGTCTCCTCCCTCGAATTTTGGAAATTCTATTTTTGTGTATGGCCGTCGGGTTTGATTGCGATGCCCCCATGGGTTGTCCGCCTCATCATCCTCCGTCTCGGACCAAACTGACTTCCTATGCTCCCTTGGTCCGAAGGAAATTTCCTTGGCTTTGGTCTTGTTGGAAGCGCTAGGTAAGGATTCGGTTGGTGGTACACCGCTGGATTGCTCCTTGAGCGCTGCCACGTCAGCCACCAGGGAATCAATCGTTGCAAGGCGAGCCGCAATGAAGGCAAATTGTTGGGCGAGGCGTCGGCATCCGGGTGGTGGGGCGAGAGGGATTCGGTAGGAAGGTTGGTAAGCGGAGAGGTGTGTGGAGGCGTAGGTAGCGAGGCTGGTTGTGTGTTGGGGGGTGGGTTTTGGGAGTCGAGGTTCGAAGAGCTGGAACGAGTATTCACCATGATGGTTCGACTGGCTCTGATACCAAAATGGTAGCAACCCGCAGTAGAGAGAGAGAGAGAGAGAGAGAGAGAGAGAGAGAGAGAGAGAGAGAGAGAGAGTCGGAGAAGGAGAGGAGAATTGGGATTGAAAGGGAACAATAGATCATAATATTTTTTCTATTCACAACTGTGCATAACCGAAGCATTTAAATAAAGATGAACAAAACAACTTGCTAAATTCTAGGAAAGACTAACCCACTACTAAAACCTACGAAGCATTCTGGGAAAGTGGGGCTGATTTCCCAAGATTTTCTCTAACTTCTCCCATACGTGGCTTGACTTGTTCAGCCACTATCCCCATTAACGCCACTTCATCTTTCTTCTTTCCATTTTTCCGAAAATATGTCTTGAGAGGAAGAGGAGGTAGCATAGGTGGTAGCATCTTATCAGTATCAGAGTTCAGTGCCTTAATATAACATTAGGTAGACAAAGTATTGCTATCTTTTGGTCCTTTAATTTGAATGTCTCGATCTGCCCTCGCATTCAAAGGGATTGAACAGATAATTACTTTTGTTTCCATCATTCTGTTCTGGCTGATCTGGGCTGGTTAGTTGCTGATCTGTCAGGGCTTACAAAGCTTATGCATGAGCAGCGGAATGCAGTGTCTATGGTTTCTCGGTGTTAATATTGATGATACCAAAATGAAGTTTCAGCAGTTCATGCCTAGAGCTCTTCAATTATTCTTACCCTTTCCCCTCGTTTAATTATCAATAAATGTTCGACCAAAAAAAATTTATCAATAACTGTTTGTCGATGAGCGGCTGCATCTAGAACTTTGTAGCTGCTTTGTCACTGCTTTGTCACCGTCTGCTTCGAAAGGACCATAGTCGGATCAAATTGCCAAATCCTCCATTGGACTTCTTGTCGATGGAGGAATGAAGGGATAAGAGACTTGTTCTCGCGATGATCATTCACGTAGTTCCGAAATGGCAAACCATTTAGATTATGGAGTCTCGAACGTTGGCGTTTGTGTGTCAAGTTAGACCAGATGATTCTTCCTAGGTTCTGGTTACTCTCCTTTTGCCTCTAGACGGGCAGCTCCTTCGGCTTGCGACATCCTCAGACTGAGAGCCGAGAGCATGCAAACTCTTGTTTTGGTTGTTGATTTAGATTTGGCTTGGGCAATCCTATCAGGGCTTCCCTTCGATGAGCATTTGCACTGGAAATCCAACACAAAGCGGCATAAGCTGAACTAATACTGCCATAATGATCTCCACAAGATATTCATAAAACTGCAACAATGATTCTTAAAAAAATTTCTGATACTGCATCGAGATGGGATGCTTAAGCTACAAGACTACAAATTCAAATTAAACGATTCTAGCCTATTCTTCTTTTTCCAACCAATTTTTTCCCATCTATCATCACTCTAAAACTCAAGCGATAAAATAGATTCTGCCACATCTGGCAGAGCTTTGCAATGCAAAGCCGGTTTCTGAGATAAAAGAGCTTTCGAGCATGTTTGCTCTCCTTCGATATTTTCTCGAAACGCAAGAACTCGCAAGAGGAGCAATTTGGTCACGGTGTCTTTGCATCAAACCGATGAAACAGCCTTGTTGGACTTCCGGATGTGATGACCAATGATCTAATCCACCAACGAAACATTGCTCTCCTGACTAATGTCATCATCGAGATCTCGGAGATTGGAACTGACTGAGAATTTCAGCCACCTCTTCCTCTTGACGTACTTAAGACCTGGTTGCATTATGAAACCGATTACCACAGCCACGAGGCTCACAATCGCGACCTTGAGGGTAGAAAGAGCAAGAACGACACCTATTAGTATAGTTGGAGGTATGCACATAGCGATTGCTCCAATTGTCCCGACCGGTATCTTGTAAGGCCTAGACGCATTAGGATGCTTGATCCTCAACTTCACAAATGCTAGGAACTCCAAGATCATTCCGAAACAGTACAAGAAGTTCTCTGCAGCAACAATCTCTTGGAAACTCAGCCATGAAAGCAGAATCACACCAGAAGCCGAGAACAGAATTCCAGTCAGAGGGGTTCCATATTTGGACCTCTTGGCAAAAAAATCGGGCAGCATGCCCCGCTCAGCCATGCCCAGGAGCTGGAAAGAGTCGCTGCTCATCTCAGCGACAAACATTCCCATATTCGACATAGCCGCAGCTGCTTGGACCCACCACCTCAACCAAACACCTCCGATGATTTTGGCAATATCGGAGAAGTAACCGTCCGTCCAAAGCTCACGGTCAAGTGGAACAGCACCAGTGCCAATTAAAAGTGGGAAAAAGTATCCGAGAACAACCAAGATCAGAGCATAGAAGAGAGCCCTTGGAAGAGTTTTCTTCGGGTTGTCCACCTCTCCAGCCAGGGTGCTTATCGAATCCCAGTAGTTTAGATTCCAAAACAGAGTGTTCAAGTACAAATTCCAGTCCACATTGTGCAGATTGACCACCAACCATCTAGACGGCTCCAACTTGGGTATCGACACAAACCCCATAACCACAAAGGGGAGAATCGAGAAAACCCCTAGTGCAACCGCAGCCCATCCGACAATGGTCAGACCCCTATAATTTATGTACGTAAGAAGCAACGTCAAAGCCAATACCGCAACTACCCGAGGCCACCCGCCATCCAAAGCAGGGATCCCTGATTTTAAATAGTCAAGGAAGAGCACTGGGTACAAGGCGTTATCTATGACCCCACTGAGCCACTTCATCCAGCCCTGCTGAAATCCCCAGAAGGGACCGAGCGCAGACGAAACCCATACCACGTAACCGCCATTCTCAGGGAACATGGTGCCCATTTCAGCGGTGATCAATGCCTCGGGGACACTCCATATGAAGGGAAAGACCAAGAATCCCAGAAGGGCTAAGAGAGGACCAGCAGCCCCGACGCTATCCTCGACCCCGAACGGGCCACCGGACACCTCATAAAAGATGAGGAAAACAAGAGGAAGCACCGATACTTTTCCAAAGTTATCAGCCCTAGGGGAAGAAGGCACTTCATGGATGGTCACATAAGCCGCACCATTGAGCTCCCCCATCGGAACAGAATCTTGCCTATCAGCTGAATTCCTCAATTTCTGCATTCGAAATAAAACACCCAGAAAAAAAATTTGAATTTTTCGTCACGGCCAAAACTTTCCCCGATCGAAGACAACAAATCCAAGGACATGCAGGAAATCTCCTCCTATGAGCAGAGCAAAACATCGAGAATCGACACACCCCAAATTGCAACTACCCATTGAAAAGCACATCGACTTCAAACTAGTGAACAGATTACAGGAGGCCACATCTTGCTCACCCCAGAGACAGAGAGAGAGAGAGAGAATCCAAAGGCAAACAGCTTAAATTGAGAGCAAAGCTAGAGCCAAGAGGCCGATGATTACAAAACAACAGTGCCACGGAGAGATCTCAAACATCCGGCGACGGCGAAATCGGGCCCAATCTCTCTCGAACCCAGAACAGGAGCAACAGCAATTATCCAAAAACGAAAGTCCAGCGAGCGATAGGCAAAACCAGCAAAACAAAAAGGGAAGAAGAAGAAGAAGAAGAAGAGAGTATGCAACCGAACCATGAGAGGAAGGAGCATCGAAGTGGCGGGATCGAGGACGAACCGATGAGTTCCGCCATCGCACACCTGCAACGATGAAGCTCACACGCCCCGAACTTCGTCCCCCCCCTTCTCCCTCTCTCTTGGAACTTTTCTCGCTGCGCGATGCTCGAGTCCTTCTTTCTTTTTCCTTTCACCCTTTCGGTTTTGGTGGAAGCTTTTTCTTTTCTTTTTTTCTTTTTTTGGCCGAAGCTTTTTCGATGACGGATTTTTTCTTTCCTTTTTTTTTTTGCGATTTCCGTTAGATGCTGATTGATTTCTGGTTAGAGCAAGAATAATATCGTTTCTTCCTATTTGTATCCACTTTAATTGGATTCTCTTTTGACCTTTTCCTTTTCCTTTTTTGTTAAATTTAAATAGTACGGCTCGCGCATTTTGATTTTTTTTCCTTAAATTTTCAGTTTTCTGAAACTTTGACGAGACTCGAAGTGACAAATAATTCCACGTTATTTTGATAACTTTTCGATAACTTTCTAAATGCTTGCGAAAAAATTGACAAAATTGCTTTTACCTTCTTTTTAGATGCAAATAACTATGGCCGGAAAGAAGCCGGTCCACTCCAGTGGCGTATAATTTCGCAACTTGTATTAAAGAGTAAGATTATAGGGACAGATAAATCGCTTCATCAAATTGATTGATAAAATAATCAGAGAAGCACCAAGATGGTATCAGATCGCCATTAGAGCGAGGATTTTGAACAAACTCGCGTAGCACGCCACGGGGCAATCCGGGCATGTGGAGATGAGATCTGCTACACTTGTGTACCTTAACGGACAACCTCAAAAGCGCACTTTCCTCATATAGAAGAGATTAGTCTTGAAATGCTCCCAAGACTTGAACCCTTGCATAGATGGATCTAGACATCTGATGGCCAAGGGGCCAAGATTTGTTACTAAGGTCCATAATGTTAATTCATTGTTTCCTTAAATGAATGTATTCTGTAGTGACCTAGATAGAATCATTAAGGTGGTATTAAACTATAATTGTAACTTATTTCACTAAGACTAGAAATCTAAGTTAGCCAGGTTACACGTCGTGTGAATCCACACAGAATCCATTTTGCCAACGTAATCTAAGTTAGTTTACTTCACTAAAACAAACTCATGCATAGCGTGCCACATGCATTTTTTATATATAAATACAAGTTAATCTCGATTATAAATTTTTGTGGTGATCTTGTTGAAAAGGTCAAAAGCTTGCTACTAATTGGGCCTCTCTTGCGGTAAAGTTGCAAACCCCACTCGACCTCCGGATCCATCCTTAAACTCAAAATCACAAGAAGAGAAGCAAATTTCATCGCCATCTAAATTAACACCCCAATTAGTAGCAGGCTCTTTTTATCACTCGTCGTATTACCATACGATGCTTATTTCTTGTCGAGTACATACAATTGTAAAAAAGTCATTCAAAATATCCTATACAATTAATTTAAAGGTCAGAATGTTGCATGGTAGCATCAATTATTTTCGTGGGTATTTAAATACACAAGTCATATTCAAGCACTCGAGAAATCCCTATTTGTGTACTTTATAAATTTTACATTATCAATTTTCGTTTTTATAATAGCAAGTGCGTACAAATCCACCTTATCAAAGGGAATATTTGGATCCTATTCCTAAGTCAGAGGCTCAAGAAGCATGAATTTCATGTTTTATGTTTTCTATAATTTGGCAAATGAATTATTCATATAATAATAGTTTTTCTTGTCTCGACCCACTTTTTTTTTTTTTTTTTGTCGAATTGTTTCGACCCACATGGTACATATAAGAAAGGCTTAGCTAGGCTGGCGAGGCGTCATCTAAAAAGATAAGGCGTGGAACTAACGCCAGAAAATCATAAGCTTAGCTCGATTCTGCTTATAATCATCGCCATCCCTCCAAATTCCAACTCCCCAAAGCAGTATCAAATCAATCGTCAAATGGTCCTGTCCTTTCAATGATCTTCACACCTTCATCGCGTGGTCCAATAAACTAACTCGAATGTCAGGCCAGAAGGGCCAAAAAGCAAAAAAAAAAATCAAACTTGTAAATTGAAAGTTTGAATGGACTTTTCTTTTTGGTAGGTGAGTATCGAATTGCTGACGCTTCTAAAGTTGACTATTCTGGCATTTAGATTCCGTAATCTACATCAAGCTGGAGAGCAGGAGAGGGCACTGAATGTGACCTAATAATTAAACAAATTAGATACTATTTTTTGAGTGAAAATGATGTACAGTTTGAAAACTTTATTGCATGAACTCTTTTATATAGTTCTAGGCATCTGATCTGTGTAAAACTTTAGGGGTTTTGTTTGGTTGATCTTCAATCCAGACCAAGAACCACAGCCAAAGTGCCGGTTCTAAATGGAATCTCCCATCAAATAAAATCAAGGAAATTTAGATTTCAAATAACTTCAAGGAAAACTTATGGTCATGTTATCTCCATATCTTTGGATGATAGCGTGATTTTGTGATCTGAAACTTGGTCTATGCAGTATGTTCAGAATCTACCCTTCTTGGGATTCAAGATAATGCAATATTTTGGACATTCATGATTGTTTTTTTTTTTTTTTAAATCTCTTGGAAATCAAAAGTTTTGACTCCATGTTACAGTACGCACGAGCAATATTTTCGTCAAGGCATGTGCAAGATGCAAGCAGCCAAATTTACCCAAAAAGTCTTCCCAATGAATCTGCATCTTTCAACCAAAGCCCGCCCCTCCCCAATCCCTTTCAATATAACAGTACAAAATTGGAAATGATGAACACACATCTTGGGGATGCAAATTAAAACTCATCACCATCCCTTACTGTGTTCTTGCACTTTGCCTATGCTTGATATATGGATATATGGAGATTTGACTGTTATGTTTCGACTCATGTGAAGCTATAAAAGAGATCAAGAGAGGCTCCGTGATGTCCTTACCTCGATGTCTTGATCGGTGTTGTTGTTCGGGGCGGCTTCGGCTGGATGAGGTGGCGAACGCCGAACAACGGCCATGGTGGCGGTGGCGGTGGCGGTATCGGTGCTCTGTCGCAAGTCGGCTGCTTCTCGCAGACCCGAACCCGAACCTCCTGCATCTGCCTTCATATCTCCTGTGTTTTACTCCCAAGACTCAGTGATGGGTCGTCTTTTTCTTCGCCTATCAACTCCTTCTCGCCATTAGGAAGGGGGAGAAAGCCAGATGAAGCAAACCAACAATGGCCATCTACACCGCACAAGCATACAGAGAGAGAGAGAGAGAGAGAGATTATTTTAGGAAGACAAGGAGAGTGACAGAGAGAGAGGGAGAGAAGAGTTTATTTTATGCACATGTCTATGATGCATATTTGCATCTATTCATTGTAGAACAAAATCAAGAAAATTAGTTTTGACCTCTAATAATTAATAATTAAAATTCCCGAAAGCTCGCGCACGATCTCAATGAGAATCATTATTATATATATATGTCATATTAGGAATAAAGTGGCCATTCAAAAGTAATCAAGATATCGACCCAAACAAAAAAAAAGTAATCAAGATGACAATAGTGCAATTCTGGTCAACCTCTATCGTTTATATAGATTTAGATTGTTATGTCTGCATCGCATGGTTTCTAAACAAATCACATTTTCGAATATTCATTTTTTGTTGACACCATCGTTTTTATTCGCCTCTATTTTCCATACGTGATGCGGTATTTTTTTTTTTGCCCTCGTGTATACAGAGGGGACCTACGTTGAAATTTCGGATGTGCGATGGAAGAGAAAGAAAACGATAGTGCGAGTGAGTTATCATTTTCGTATGGCATGTGCAAACCCACCCCGGCGATCCCTAAGGCCACCTACGCATGTCAAAAAGCATGTTGTTAACCGATTAATATGGCTTGCGGGGTACTTCGTAGACTCTTAAGTAGCCGGATCTCTTTGTCCGTAAAAATTTATAGCAAAAAAGTACACATCGAATGGAATGGTGTGTCTGATGTTCATGTTCAAAGAAGAATACCGAAAAGACCATCACCGCTTTTCGCTCCAATACCTTTCCAACGTTCTCTGCTTTTGAAAACCCCGAGTTGCATCTTATCACTTAAATGGAAGTTCCAAACCAACCGATTTGATGATTATAATACCATTATTTTGTCCCCCGTTTACTCACGAAGGAATTAAATTATAATCGCGCCGATTAATATCGGACTGCGTATGCATCCGCGGCATATTGAATCCATAGTAAATTTAGGACTGAATCGGCACAAATGCAATAGATTTATGATTATTTTGATACTTTTCCCTTGAATATATTGACATGAGTGGAAAAAAATACCGTCCGACGAAAATGACAGGCGAGTTTCCCCGAGAGCATTTTTTGTGTTGCAGCGTAATTTTTTGAGTCTTCCACCAATTTTTGAAATTTCATATTCTCTTGTTCTTCTTATTTCTCTTGTTTCAATCTCGACCTCTTAGCTTAATATTCCGCGTCCGTCAATGCTACGATCGCGCTACTCTTAGCAACAATTTTCTTCGCGGGACGGTTCGGTTCGTGTGAATCGAGTTGGAAACGGGACTTTCTCTCTCTCTCTCTTTTGATCCCATTTTTTTCGGGAATAGTTGCTTTTCGGTTGAGAATTGTAGTCGACACCACACCAGTTTTGCACTTGAAGTTGGCGGTTTCCTTGATCGGGTTTCCATCTCCTTTCGGTCTCCTGTGTTTTTCTTTCTTCTGTCGGATTCCTACATTTACAAAAGGAAGTCCATCATGCGAATTAAAAGGGCAGGAGAGCACGACAAACCTCAAATTTCAAAGGAACAGTTGATAGTAGCTTCTCGCCAACCCTTGATCTTCGCCTGGCGGGACTTGATATGGGTCGCCATTATTGAAAAGGCTCCAGAGCAGCTTTGGCATTATCATCGAGTGTTTTGACTTTGGACAGGTGGTGTGGTTCGATACGGATCGAATGTTTCCAAGCTCCATCGCTTTACACAGCAGACTGGCAACGTTTCTTTCATCTTTCTAGATGTCGTTGCGAGATGCTTCAGCTATAGACGGTCTGTACGTGATCATCGCTATGGGATTACTATATATCGGACACCCCCGTCTAGTCTCATCCTTGCGTTGACAACCAATAAAACTTGTCCGAATAAACTATTCCTGAACGTATAAGTTCTTTCTTAGACTGGCGTTGGACCGAACGATGCTCCAGCTTTTCGTTCTCTTTCTGCAAGTTGCGTTTATCTTGCATATCTCAAGAGATTTTTGGTATTTACGAGGAGACCATAGTTTTCACCACTTCTCAACCTCAAGGGGTTTTGGTATTGGTAGGTCGAATTGATCAGACTTCGTTGAATGATTGGGAGATTCCAACAAATGAAGCTCGAGACAGCCATAGTTCAGCTTCTCCCTCACCCAAAAGTGAACCTTGTTGTGTATGGCCATAGAAGTCAATTTGTCATGATGAAAAGTCAACATATATCTCTCTTGTCAGCCTCTGGATCTGCGTATTGTAATTGTCAGCCACTCGACAGATGCCTGTGGTCAGCCGTCTGATCAAATGCTCGTCAGCACATCAGCCGTTGGATTGAGTATGACAAAATTGTTGTCCTCGAGGTGGTCTAGACCTTAGAAGAGTCCGGGAAGAAAGAGGGATTTACTGGGGATGCCAGAAATTGACACGTCTTGCTACGTAGATCACAAGTTAAAATAATCTTGCTCGATTTGCAATCAAGCCCTGAACTTTTACGTAATATGATAAATTTCTAACAATTATAAAGAATAATACATAGTTCAATTAAGTTTTATCCGTTTAATTAATGGAAAATCCAATGTTATTTTTAAAATAATTTCTCTCTTGTATTTTATACTTTTGAGAACACTCATCTCTCTTCTAGCCTCAGTTAAGGTTGATCTTTCACTTAAGTAACAACATTAAGTGAAAATTTATTTTTTTATCTCTAAGTGAAATTAAGCAAAGAGGAGAGGACTTGATGAAATTAAGGGATACTCATAATGAAATGGTTGATTCTGTAATTATAATCCTATTTTCGATCCGGTGGTCCAAGTATACTAAAGTCAATGGACCATATTATTGTACCACGTCTTAAAATCAACGGGTCAATAGTATAGTAAGCGCTCGCATGTTACAAATTGTGGGGTTTGACATGAAGCCCACGAGTGAAATCTTTGGGCCCAAGACCTCTTGCCAGTAATTCAACAAATTATAAAGAGGAGAAGTATTGTTTGTTCATCATAAGTGATGGAAACACGTAACAATTGCTCGATCAAAATGCACTATTGATGATGTTGATTCACGTGTGGAGTTTGTCTCATCTTTCCTTATATCCTTCTAAGTCTAACCTGTGTTTTTTCCTCCTTGGGATTTTCTCGAGTCTAAAATGAGCTGCTTAATTTCAACACCAACTTAATGGATGACTTAGACTTTATATTACTAACAAACAGTTTTGTCACTTTGCATCGAAGTCCTCTCTACCTTTGAATTCATTACATAAAGTTTTGAAGAATTCGTGACTGAGAGTGCTTTTCTTACCACGTTAGCCGAAGCCATGAAAAAGGATACGAGTTTATGTAACCTTTCGCTTCCCATCGGACTGAAAGGGAAATTACAAGGACTTCGACCCAATCTTGCAGCCTTTTTGGAAAGCTTTTAAAACTAGAAATATTTACCATCTTGTTTTTTTTTTTTGGAGTAATTATAACACACAAAGAACTCTTAATAAGCGATCTTATCAATCCTTTATTTGAAGATTATGATTTTTCATTCTCTCAATAATTTCCACCAAAAAAGTTCTAAACATATTGTATGATGCCAATTTAGTCCTAAACATTTTAATTTGGCCAATTTAGTTCAAACCCTTTTGGCGATTTTTCAAAATAATCTTTCTGATCAATTTTGCCCTACAATTACTAACGTGGATGTCGACTATCTTACATGGCACGATCGGCGTTGACATGTACAAATTTTTTTTTTTAATTTTTTTGATTTGTTTATAAATTTTTTGAAATTTTTCTTTTTTGAATTTTGTTTTTTTCTTCCTCCGCCGGTCGCTAGGCCTTGGACGAGGCTTGCCCTGGCCAATGGTTGGGGAAGATTGAGCTTGCCAGATGAGGCGAAGCTTGACCTCGCCTGCGGTCGGTCATTGGCCATTGCCAAGGCCCGGAGATTGACCTAGGAAGAAAGAAAAAAAAATTGATAAAATAATTTAGAAAAATAAAAAAAAAATGCAACAAATTGTTCACGGCAGCATCGATCGTGCCACGTAGGATGGTCGACGTCCACATCAATGGTCTCTGATCAAAATTGGTAGGAAGACTACATTAGTAAATTGTCAAAAGGTTTAGAATTAAAAAGTTTAAAACTGAATTGACATCCGTGTAATAGATTTAATACTTTTTTGGTAATTACTCCTTTCAGAAGATATATTAATTACGAGTAAAATTTTAAAGTTCAGGTTACCATATCATATAACCTGTTATAATTTATTACCCACTTGATTTACAATTAAAGTAAAATGAAATATATTTGCTGTTAAGTGAATTATTCATTCACATTAATATAGATAAGTAGAGTTAAACTCGTGAGACAGTGATTATTTTATTAATTACAGACTGTGCAAGTGTGCATAAGTTTTGAGTAGAATAATTCATTATTGTTATCGAAAGATTAATAACTATATATTTTTATAATATATAATTTTAAAAAAATAATGAATTTTTTTTTCACATATGGTTCGTGATGCCCCTTGCGGCACACCGTCCTTCGTTAGGACATGCCTGGCGGGCCGGCCCCATTCCACACGGGGCAGTGCCGGGTGGAATGTGATTGTTGTCCCCGCCCTGCCCCTTGCACATTCCGATTTTGCAACAAATCAATTGAAAATGTCAAGGCAAGATGCAACGGCTCTCTTTACCGCGTGGGGACTAGAGTTGTGCTCATTTTCATCGGATATTGTCTATAGACCTTCTCACTCTCGAGAAAGTCTTTTATTTAACGAAATCATAGTATGACGGTAATAATGTGGTGTCACCGATCTATAGCCAACGAATATCATTTTAATCGATGCCATACGTGTGTGTATTTCACTTTTGATTGGTCGATTACATCACGTGTTACTGTCACGTGATGTATACGTCACACTATTGAAAATATATTTTCCTTCTCTATCATCACTATCCAATCGCGTGGTATCAATGTATCATGCACATCGATTGGATACAAAATTAAACAGAACCATTGCCTAAAGCTATATTTTTCCAACCTTAATG